CGGTTCAGATTTAGATATAGCTCCTATATATATTTTCCTCCTATTTTAATTAAATCATACACCAAGGATCCAAAATATGGCCAATATCATGTTATGTTAGAATGCATCTGTTGAATATGAAAATCTGAAATCTGACTTTTATGTGTTTATATTTCAAAGCATGGAAATATACTGAACATTTTCTGCACATATGTATGTCTTTCACAATTTATAAATACAAATTGTTCTGTTAAAAAATGGAAAAGCATCTATATTGGACGAGACCTTTATACATAATATATACCTAAAGATGGACCGATATTGATATTTTTGATAGGAAGAAAAACCACCCAATGGGAACCCGATGTCTCAAATTAGAAATACACAATATAATTCCAAATTCTTTGCAAAATTTCATGTCAATTAGACAGACTTAGTGTGTTTGGTGTACCTGAACCGATTTCTACAAAACTTTATACATGCCTCAATTTAGTTTAGCTCTACAAATAGTTGTCTCGATCTGGCAAACATTAGGACTATATTTCTAATTTCAATAGAAATATTTTTCTAATGTCAAATAAATGATCTGTACCAAGTTTCATCCAATTTAAGTCATAAATTCGAGCTGTACTTTGTTTTTTATTAATACATGGAGAGACAGACGTTGGGATGGACCTGCATAAATCGATTCAGAAAGTTATCCTTAAAATTAACAACGGGTCTATGTCGTTTCTTTTGGCAAGTTACAAACATATACACATATGTCCTGTGCCAAAGTGTGATGAATAGTCTTATTTTTAGTACAGATATATGGGGGTTACACTCCATACGCTAAATAATTCCAAAATCTAACATTGTGGGTGAACCAGCAAAGACGGGCATATTTAAATCTACATATTATTATACCCTTCACCACACGGTGGTACAGGGTATTATGTCGTTGTGCATAGGTTTGTAACAGGCAAAAGGAATCGAGATAGACCCATGGTTCACTTTCTGAATCGATTTATTCATGTCCGTCCGTCCGTCTGTTGATGTTAAATTGTAAACAAAGTACAGGTCGCATTTATAATCCGATTTGAATGAAATTTGGAACAAGTCACTTATTTGGCCCAAGGACGGGCCCTATTGAAATTGGAATCGGTTCAGATTTTGATATAACTCCCATATATATTTTCGTCCGATTTTAGGTAAATTGAGCACCAACGACCCTGAAAATCATTCAATTTGCACGAATATTGGCATAGCGTACTGAATGAAGTGTAGAATGACGTGTGCGAGTTTCGTGAAAATCTGTTCAGATTTTGATATAGCTCCCATATATATTTTCGCATGTGTAGAGATTGATGTTAGTCGGTTTAGATATAGATAAATATCACATATTTAAGTTCGTTCAAACTAATTGTTTACGCATAAAAACTAGCCTTTGGCGAAATATAATATTTTTGCTGTATAGTGTAAACAATTGGAATGGCTTGGATGACGACTACAGTTTTTCATTGCAACGATTGATTAGTGGTGTAGAGTTACCATTATTTTCATAAATCACATACAAATTTGTAAAATACGGATTCTAAGAAAGTTATGAAAAATTGGCTCACGGTTATTATGTGTCCATGGGATAATTTTTTTTTAAATACTAGGAATCGAACCAAGTCTTTATATGGTGGACATTTTATAATATGGAAATATCTTGATTGAGAGAACAGCTACTTCCTTTCTCCAAATGTTTAATTACAGTGCAATCCATTAGAAAATTTGGTTAACTTGTCAAAATATCAAAAATCGTGTGACATGGAAATTTTCTACTTAAAACACAAGTTACCGTATTAAAACCAATTCAAAAGCGGTAGGTGCCTTGAATGGAAGCATGTTTGGAACCATGGTTGGATGGTTAATGTTAAAAATTTTCCGAAATTAGCGGTTACAAATGACTGACAAGTTTAAAATATCGGATATTAGTTACAAACGGCAAACAATTTTAATTCATCCTCCATTGCTATGGCTGATAATTAAAAAACCGACAGTGGCAATCCTAAACTATATTTGCGCTGTTTCTATATAAAAATAATTTAAAACCACCCATAATATGGTTTGCGTACACACTTGCCTATCTTTTGTAGATAATAAAATTTTTACTAGTTTTTAGAATTTGTTTTCAGTTCTACTGAAAGCCAGTATAACAAAAGATAATAGAAATTGCTCTCACGAACATGACTTGCAGGTTAATTGCTAACATTGATAAGTTTTTTTTTTTGATTAATTCAAACGCTTTTGTTTGAACAGTGGGGGAATTAATAGAACGGACAATGTCCCCAATGAGGTTGTAAAATGTTCACATGCCAGCACACTGTTCAAAGATGTACCTGAACTTGACCTACCTAAAAGTTTTTCATGATATTCAATTGAAAAACAGTAAAAACATTCAAATGTGAATTGTTACAAAGGTTAAAATATTAAATACCAGGAAATGCTTATATGCAATACAATCACATAAAAGGGCAGAATTTGAAATTTAATTATATTCTTCTATTATTGGGGACAAACATTTCTAAAACAACCTTAGTGAGCCCTTTGAAACAACCTTAGAAGGGCTCACTGTTATGCATTTATTAGTCACATGAAACAGTTAGCCTGCACTTGAGAAATAAATTTTTAGTTTTCAGTTGATTTATTAATTAACCAAATAGGCTTTCATCAATTGAAATAAATTAATAGTCGGTTTAGCCATTACTTAAGAAATGAATACAGACAGAAGCGCCATTAAATCCGATGACTATTTAAACTGATGTTTAGTTATAATTGTTTTATTAATTAATATTGAAAAATAATAAAAAATTGTTTTACGTATACTAATTTGAAAATCAACACTTATCGAACAGATGTTACTTCCAATTAATTTATTCTGGTTTCAAGATCTAGATTTTTTAGTCGAGTTTCTTAAATTACGCTCCATAGCTCATTATTATTCGTGGATTTAGCTATGACGACCTACTTTTTGAAATTGCAGCACAAATGTTCAATTGAATTTAGATCCGGTGGCTGCGCGATCCCGTGCATAATACATATATTGTTGTCCAGAAACATCTGTTTTGCTAATCGTCAGGTTTATTTTAGATCATTGTCCTGTTGAAAATTCCTTTTATGAAATGCATATTCATATTCTGTAACGTGTTGCAGCATTGAGCGACATCAATTCCATTTTGTTCCAACTCCGCAGTACGAGGAAAATACTCAAATCCAAAATCTTTGATCTTTTTAGGGATCGTAATTTTTTGACCTGTGGAGGTGTCATATACTGCCGGGATTCAGTATCACAACTATTTTGTAATCGTCCGATCTCAGCATGTTTCTCTGTTTTCCAACTATTGATTAAAACGTGCGCTGCTATTATTTCGACCGCAACTGTATATCTAAATTAAAACCGATGTCTACAAAACTTTTCACACGTTATCTATATATATAGTAACTTTAGCACGTGTTGTAAAATTTCGTGTCAATCGGAAAAACGCGAGGTGTTTGGTGTACCATTTAAATCAAATCGGATGGAAGCTATATCTATATAACTTAGCACACATCATTACATACCTAATTTAGTACGCGTACTATATTTCTATGCATCGAGCCCCTATATTTCTTTCGCGCAAATCGAAAGAAATATAGGGGCTTGCTGCACGAAACTTAGAACACACCTTTCCAGACCTTAAATCGGACGAAAATATAAATGGCAGCCATATCTAGATCTGAACCTCTTTTCACAAATACATAATCGGTACATAATTCAGTACGCTATGTCAAATTTTGTACAAGTCGAATGATATATAGGGACTTTACATCAAATCGGACAAACATATAGATGGGAGATATATCCAATTTCAATAGGGTTCGTCCTTGGGTCAAGTAAATGAGCTATGCCAAATTTCATCCAATTCGGATCATAAATGCGACCTGTACTTTGTTTACAATTTAACATGAGAAGACGGACGGACATGCATAAAGTGATTCTAAGCATATTCTCAAAAGGAACCCTATGTCTGTCTCGTTCCCTTTTGTCTGTTACGAACATATGCAGTGTTTTTTCATTCTTTACCTCGTCATTCTGCGATTGTGAGCAAATATCTCCTACAGATGTGGGTGCCTTGCAGCAAACAGCAAACATGGATCTGAGTTCAAAAACAACCGAGGAAGTACAATATCGACAAATCCTTGCGAGGCAGGCGTGATTTGAACTTAAATTCAAAATTTTACACAACCTGCTGAAGTTACTATAACATAACGCGTGTTAAGTTTTGTTGAAATCAGTTCAGATTTATATATAGCTCCCGATTTTAAGTAAATGGTGCACCAAGGACCCAAAGTTAGGCCGATTGCCGCAAAAGTTTGTACAACGTACTGAAATTAATATAACATAACGAGTGTCAAGTTTCGTAAAAATCGGTTCAGATTTGAATGTAGCTCCCATATATAATTTGGTCCAATTTTATGTTAATTGGGTACCAATTGAGCACCACACAAAATTTGGCATAGCGTACTGAATAGAGTCAAGTGTGATGTGTGCTAAGTTTCGTGAAAATCGGTTCATATTTAGATATTGAAATTGGTGCAGATGCAGACATAGCCTCCATATATATTTCGCACGGGTGTCTGATTGAGATTAAATTTTTAATAGTGTCCATAATCGATTTACATTAATTTGTCCCATTGTACGCAAATGACTCTAAATCTGCCCGTCGGTTCACTTATAGATAAATAACACATATTTATGTTCGTCCAATTTCATGTCAGTTTTCCTTCGAAAAAGCGACGTCAGTTAGAACACATATATAAAATATACCCATAATGGTGAAGGGTATCATATAGTCGGCCCAGTCCGTCTTTACTACTTTCATAGCTGTTTTTTATTAATTACTATAACTTTCCTTTATTAACTAAATTCACGGATTCAGTCCTTTTGGTTATTGTACATATATACAAGTATATGAACTTTAAATAACTAAAATAATTTACACCAACGTCTATACTTAATCAAAATATCCCTTATTAGCTAACCATGGCAAAAGTTGTTGCATTTGTTTGCAGTAACGTTCACCGGTGTACATGGCCTTTTGCATTGCTCCGCCATCCTTTTTATCTCCCATCATGTTGTCCATGTTAATATCTTTGGTGGTACTGGGATCCAAAAGAACAACGGGAAGGCTCTTTAAAATCACAGTGTAACCTGAAAATCAAAGGATAGTTTTAAAATTAGAAGAATACAATTTTTTTATTTTCTCCCGCTACTTACCCATAAAAGCAAAATCAATCATCCACAAATGGACATCTCTTAAAGTTGGCAACTTTTTGGGATAACCCAAAATCATAAGATTTTCCACCAACTGCTTATGATAGTAACTAATAAAGTAATCGTAATATTTGATTTTGTTTTCCAAGCAAGTGGAACCCAAAAGGAAATATTGCAGATCCAAGGCAGGGGATGTAAAACGACCAGCTTGAAAATCAACCAACAATGTCTTGACGATATTGTTGTGTTCATCATGTTGGAACATAATATTGTTGGACCAACAATCACCATGACTGAGGACGTTGAAATCATCCATGCTACGTTTTTCTGAGTCAATGATTTCCTTCAAGTACTTTGGGCGATAACTTATCTGAAAGTACACAAATTTCAATACAATTAGATATATAAAACATGTTAGATCCTCTATAACTTACAAGTTTATCTTTTAATTGCTCAGCTTTGTACAGAGGCAAATTTTCCTCTACCACTTTCTCTTGTGGCTCCTGGCCTTTGGCCAACATTTGTACCATTTGCTCATTAAGCATTGGCTTCATCATCAACTCGGGCAGACCATTGTTCTTTACAATATATGTAGCTGAGGCAGCATGAAATTGGGCAATGACATCCAGAGCTTTTTTGGTATGATCCATATCAAGACCTTCAAGACGATTCATATTTTTGAAACCATCCTGACGTACATCCTCCATAAGGACAATATCGAAACCCAAATCTTTATCAAATGAATAGGCGTTGGGAGCAATTTTTGTCACTTTACCAGCCTTACGGTACATTTCATCAAAAACAGGGAAGAGTTCATAGTAACAAATTCTTTCACGTTTAAATGAACTCATCATGTTATTCAGAGCCTGGGCCTGTTGTGATGATGGTGGTACTTTAAGCATATATTTGCAAATCTTTGTGGAACCATCTGAAAGAGAAGTAGATAATGAGAAATTAATGTCGTGGAATGAAGAAGAAATTTACAATATTTGACAGTTTACAATCTGAATATATCTGAATATATTGGGGAAATATGATATGAGGGCATTACATCATTTCTGGCCTAGGCTTTGACAAGCTTTGGTAAAAACGTACTCAGCCCGTTTTGTCGTACGATTATGTGTTGTGTAATGTACAGTGACTTCAAAATCTATTTCCCAAAAATAATAATAATAATGAATTACGGACAGGATTATCACAGCAAAAAGTACAGAGATAAACATAAATATTTGTATGGGATGGAGCACCATCCCATAGCATTGTGAAAACTAGTGAAATTATTTTTATCATGGCCAAGATCGCCCAACGGCAAAGGTCATCCAAAAACGGTGGTTATGATACAAAGCCAAATTATAGAAAATTCGGCTGGAAATGGTGCCCAAATGGTGTCCCCAAACAATCAGATATTTGGTTATGGACCGTTATGTGGACCGATATATTCAGCTTTCAATACCAATTTTTACTAGGAAACAGAAGGACAAATTTGTATACACTCCATCATAGAGATTATATTTACCACTTTACAAATTGCCTATAATTTGACACAGAGTGTTCTCTTTGGGTATCAAGTGTCCATGCAAAAATTTAGGTGGTCCACGTTTACTGGTAGCCCCCATACAAAGGTACCCCTATTTTGAGTATTTACCCAAAAATTTGGTATAAACCCATTAACTGCCGAACCACTTGACATAGGCGGCCAAAATTTGACTCAGATGGTTTTTATATCAATACAAGTAATGATGTGCGAAATGGGGTCCCTGGGTCCAAGTTTTGATAAGGCCCCCATATAACCGTACCTCCCGATTTTAGGTATTTTTTGTCTATTATTCACCTTTTACAACCAAATTGGCTGTAATTTGACACAGAGTGTTCTCTTTGGGTACAAAATGTCCAAGCAAAAATGTAGGTATGTAGTTCCACATTTACTGGTAGCGCCCATACAAAGGTAAAACTATATTGAGTATTTAGCCAAAAATTGAGTATAAACTCATTAACTGCAAACCACTTGTCATAGGCGGTCAATTGGTACCCGTGGACATTTGGTACACAAAGAGAACACTCTGTGTCAAATTATAGCCAATTTGGTCGTAAAATGTGTCTAATAGACAAAAAAATGCCTTAAATCGGGAGGTACGGTTATATGGGGGTTATATCAAAACTTGGACCCAGGGACCCCATTTTGGATTTCTATATTTGCTTTGGCATTAAAAATATGTGGTCAAAATTTTGGCCGCCTATGTCAAGTGGTAAATACTCGGGTATTTACCCACGACTTTAAAGTATCGTAAAACTATCCATTCTAAAGCGATTTGATAAAAGAAACCGGAAAAAGGGTGTAAGATGTTAGGATGCCGATTCAATATAGTAACAACATAAATCGATTTAATAACAGAAACCCGGAAATAGGGTGTAAGATGTTGGGTTGCCGATTCAATATAGTAAATACACAAATAAATACCCCTAAATGAGTATTTACCCAATTTACCGGGTATTTACCCTTTGGGTATTTACCCACTGCCCATCTCTACTCCGTCATTAGGTGGAATTTCGAAGTCAATGACCGAAGAGCATTAACTCTAATTTTTTGTCGTAATTTTCACCCCAGTATACAGGCAATACCAAGTTTTGAATCTGAAATCGGGCAAAAAATATACCGAAATATGCAATGTAGGCACTATAAGCTATACTGAGCAAAATTTCATTTATATTGGACAAAATGTCCAATATAATGTCAGTTTTTTACGTAATTCCAATACTATTAGGTTGGGGAAAAAGAAATCCATTATTTTTATATGAACTATAGGACTTTATTTAAGATACTTCGGAATGTCCGATTTGGGTAAAATATGCACCGTTTTGTTGCCATTTTAAAGGCATTTCTCGATCATTTCTCAGATTTTATCAACATTTTTGACGATCGGCATACCTGTGCGAGGTGCAACTTTAACATCAAAAGTTCCTGAACGGAATCTACGAAACCAAAATTGCGCGTAATTGACTGTTACGGTTCACTTCCATTTTTAACACCTTGTAACTCACAACTAAATGCACCAAAAAAAAACAGCAAAATAATTTTTTACTGCGTAGTATCTCCCTTCCAAAGAGCATAAATCTGAAATTGTTTGATCGATACTTTACGAAAAATCTATCAGTGCAGCCATCTGCAAAAAATAATGGATTTTTTCCCCAACCTAATATATTGTCGTCATCAATCTACATCGGTTCATCAATAGAAATGTATACGTCATTATTTAATATTAATCAATTACAAATTAATTACAAAATCGCCTGTCTTCTGAAGATAATAACATTATTTGTATTTTGTTTCTGTCTTAATTTTCATTTATTTTTTTTATGCAACCCCTAATCAAAACATCACAACAAATTGCTCTCACGAATTATAATTTTGTGTTATTTTCTGTTTGACTTTCAAGTTTTTGTTTAAATAGAAGAGGAAATGAAACCAGAACTCATTTATAAGAGCTTTTGTTTGAAGAGAAAGATTAAAAATGTGAATAAAAATATTCAATCATGAGAGATTGTCAATTATTTCCCTATTTATACACATTGTGCCAAGGTGACCCTGAACTTGACATATGTTTTTCTTGACATACATTTTAAATATGACCATCTATAGCTGTAATGTTCATATTGTGTATGATCACATCATAAAATGTTTTTTCCGACATCTTACAAGAGCCGTCAAACAAATTGACGACTTATACATGCGACAAATATATAAATTTTTGAAAGTCACATCAAATTTTATGGCAACAAATTATTCAGATTCCACTTGACATGCTAATTAACCAAATAGGCTTTTATCAATTAAAATAAATTAACGTATTTATTAGGAATTCCTCTAGAATACCAATCGGTGATTCCATTAAATCAGATGACTAGTTCAGAAGATATATTTTTATACGCTCCACCATAGTATGGAGGGTATATTAATTTTGTTTTTCCGTTTGTAACTCATCGAAATAATCATTTCCGACCCTATAAAGTATATATATTCTTGATCAGCGTAAAATTCTAAGACGATCTAAGCATGTCCGTCTGTCCGTCCGTCTGTCCGTCTGTTGTAATCACTCTAGCGTCTAAACGAGTTGAGATAGATCGCCAAAATGTTGCACAGAGTCGCCTTTTGTCTGCAGGCAGGTCAAGTTCGAAGATGGGATATATCGGTCCACGTTTAGGTGCAGCTCCCATATAAGGGTGTCCCCCAATTTTCGGTATTTTGGGGTTCTTGAAAGCGTTTTTCAACCGAATTCGTTAAAATTTGGTATATTGAGTTGCTATTGGGTACCCAATTTCTCCACAAAAAATTATACATATAGGTCCATTTTTTCTGGTAGCCCCCATATTACGGTACCCTCTAATTTTCAGTATTTTGGGGGTTTTGATCGTAGTTTTCAACCGAATTGGCTGTAATTTCGTACTTTGAGTTCTTATTGGGTACCAAATCTCTCCACTAAAAATTATAAATATAGGTCAATTTTTTCTGGTAGCCCCCATATAAGGGTACCCCCCAAATGTCGGTATTTTGGGGTTCTTGAGCGTGTTTTTCAACCGAATTCGCTGAAATTTGGTACTTTGAGTTCTTATTGGGTAGCAAATCTCCCCACTAAAAATTATAAATATAGGTCCATTTTTTCGGACAGCCCCCATATAAGGGTACCACCAATTTTCGGTATTTTGAGGTTCTTGAGCGCGTTTTTCAACCAAATTCGCTGAAATTTGGTACTTTGAGTTCTTATTGAGTACCAAATCTCCCTACTAAAAATTATAAATATAGGTCAATTTTTTCTGGTACCCCCATATAACGGTACCCCTCAATTTTCGGTATTTTGGGGTTCTTGAGCGCATTTTTCAACCGAATTCGTTGAAATTTGCTACATTGGGTTCTTATTGGGTACTAAATGTCTCCACAAAAAATTATCAATATAGGTCCACTTTTTCTGGTAGCCCCCATATAACAGAACCCCCCAATGTTCGGTATTTTGGGGATCTTGAGCGCGTTTTTCAACCGAATTCGCTGAAATTTGGTACATTGGGTTCTTATTTAGTGCCAAATATCTACACAAAAAATTGTAAACATCGGTCCACTTTTTCTGATAGCACCTATATAAGGGTACCCCCCAATTTTCGGTGTTTTGAAGTTCTTGAGTGCGTTTTTCAACCGAATTCGCTGAAATTTGGTACTTTGAGTTCTTATTGGGTAGCAAATCTCCCCACCAAAAATTATAAACATATGTCCTTTTTTCTGATAGCCCCCATATAAGGGTACTCCCCAATATTCGTTATTTTGGGGTTCTTGAGCGCGTTTTTCAACCAAATTTGCTGTAATTTGGTATTTTGTAGTCGTATATGGTAACAAATCACCGACCAAAAATTATTAATATTCACCCCATTTTAGGGGTAGTCCCCATATAACTTCCTTTTTATACCCTCCACCATAGTATGGAGGGTATATTAGTTCTGTTTTTATACCCTCCACCATTGTATGGAGGGTATATTAGTTTTGTTTTTTCCGTTTGTAACGCATCAAAATAATCATTTCCCACCCTATAAAGTATATATATTCTTGATCAGTGTAAAATTCTAAGACGATTTAAGCATGTCCGTCTGTCTGTTGTAATCACTCTAGCATCTAAACGAATTGAGATAGAAGGCTAAAATTTTGCATAGAGTCGTCTTTTGTCTGAAGGCAGGTCAAGTTCGAAGATGGGCTATATCGGCCCACGTTTAGGCATAGCTCCCATATAAGGGTACCCCCCAATTTTCGGTATTTTAGGTTTCTTGATATATCGGCAGACATTTAGGCATCTTCTCAATATATTGATACCTCCTGAAGGAATGATTTGAGATAAACAATTAAAATATTGGGTTCATAATTGGCATATACCGGTCATTAATTAGGCATAGCCATCATAATGATATCCCTAAATATTCACTACTTCCTACACTATGTCACCAATATTTGTCCCCCTTTAGGCATAGCCTCATATAACTTTGTAATCTAATTTACAGTAGTTTGAGGATTTTATACTCTACCATGCGTTATTAGTATCAGTCCACTTTTTGGATCTTACAGATTTTAGGGAAAATCCGCATAATGGTTTACATAAATCGGTTTGTAGAATTATCGGTATATGCCCAATTTTTGGTATTTTCCCTATATTTCCACTGCATGTATCTGCCAGTAAAATTATGGTGGAGGGTATCCAAAGTTCGGCACGGCCGAACTTAACGCTTTTTCACTTGTTATACTCTAACGATGTTGAGAATAGTTAAGTTTTCAGGAACTGAAAACATTCGCTTAATTTTTTTATGTCAATTTATGATACCTATTTACCGAACATTTGATGTTTACAAACAAATGCACATATTATCATCTACCTGTCATCGGACGGACTTGTATATGGGACCTATATAAAATCCTAGCCAAATAAATTAGTAGCGCCAAATTTCATCGCAATATGATAATACATTTCATATTAAGATCACTTCGATTGGGAAATGAGGCTAGTAGAGAAATATATATTTTATAGCTAAGTCCAAATATTGAACTATAATTTTCTAGGGAGTACTGTTACTGATTGAAACTTCTACATTAAAAACCAGTAAGGAAGGGTATATAGAAGATATTCTATTAAGATTATTATTGTAACAGACGCAGTAGTTTTGACCTTTGAAGGACCACGAAATCGGACAAATTAAATATGTGATATGTATTCATATGAGAAACAACAAATGTTATTCTGCAATCTATGCAAAATTCCATTTCAATCGAAGAGATTTAGAGACGGTTTTTCAATGGGATGGTAAATGAATACCAATGCTCTCAGAATGAATGGTTCCCTTAAAGCAAGCTTGACACCCGCAATGCTGTAGCACATCGCACTGTGAAAAATTTACGTTGAGTATTTTGGGCACAATTGGATATCTGTCAAAATATATATGGGGCTATATCTGAATCGACACTAACTACAACAAAACTCAATAACGTAATTCTGGTACGATATGCTAAATTTCTTCGCAATCGGAGACATTTTGGGTATTTGGGACACTATTTAGATAAAATGGGCCAAAAACATATACGGGAGATAAATAAAAATATGAGTCGATTTCTATCAAATTTAATTAGAATTTTGGGGACAACATTTACATAATATTGAACAAATATTTATATAGGAGCTATAAATACATCTGCTCAGATTTTATCAAGACTTCATATACGCTAATCTGTATTGGATTCAGTACGATGTTCAAAAATGTATCTCTATTGGACATATCTTGGGAATTTTGGCGAATATAATATATATTTAAATTGGAAATGTTTTCAACAAAACTTCACATGGGAGCTTTATCTAAATCTGTGCACCGATTCAATAGGGTTCGCCCTCTGGCAAAATACGTGTCCTGTGTCAAATTGCATCCAATGCGACCTGTACTTTGCTAACAAAAATACATGGACGGACAGACGGGCGTCCATAAATAGATTCAGAAAGTTATTCTATGCATATTTTCAGGAGCAACCATGGGTCTATCTCGATTCCTTTTGCCTGTTACAAACATATGCACAAAGACATAATACCCTGTACTACAGAGTGGTGAAGGTTACAAATGCAAACGCTTCACTCAAAAGGACTTAAAAACTATATGAAACTCAACGAGGCTTTATATAATGGTATATCCCAGAATAAAATTCTAAGTCGATTTACGCACACCCGTCCGTCTGTTGGAAACACAATACTGATCACAATATTTATGATATTTTGCACAGACATTGCTAGTCCTCATAGGATGATGGTATTGCTAATGGGATATGTCGGTCCATGTTATGCTTTAGTCCTTTAACCCAATATTCGGTATTTTTGGGGATTTTGAACACGTTTTCAACGTAATTGGTTATTTTGTTTTCTCAGTGGCTGTCAAATTTCACTACCAAATATTTTTAATATCGATCCTCGTTTTGTCGCATATAATTATTATGTATTTTGAGAATTTAAAATTTTTTCTCACGTATTTTTCGGAGTCAAATTAGCAATAATTCGTGTGCACTGCACGTGATGAACAAACATCTTTTAATAGTGTTTCGAATTAATTTTCTAGATCCGAACCCAGCTACAATTGTGGGAGAGACACGAGAATGAATAAACCGTTAGGTCTTCACTCGTACTTCGCCTAGATTTGGTGAAAATATCTGGATGTGCAAAGTTTAAATCTTTTTAGATGTAATTTCCAGAATGGCTTATTCGCTGCTCAACTGCACCTACGGAAATGCTGAATGATTGGTAAAATTAATGCGAAGTACAAAATTTTAAACAAAAATTTTAAACAATAATGAGTGAGCTACTTATGAAAGGTAAACAGGTTTGTCGTGTTTTGGCGTGCTCTTTGATTTTTATACCCTTCACCACACTGTGGTACAGGGTATTATGTCTTTGTGCATATGTTTGTAACAGGCAAAAGGAATCGAGATAGACCCATAGTTCCTTTTGAGAATATTCAGAGATTCACATTCTGAGTCGATTTAAGCATGTCCGTCTGTCCGTCCATGTATTTTTGTGAGAAAAGTACAGGTCCCATTTATGATCCGAATTGGATGAAATTTGGCACAGCCCATTGGTTTGGCCCAAGGACGAACCCTATTGAAATTGGAGAAAATCGGTTCAGATTTAGATATAGCTCCCATATATATTTTCGTCCGATTTTAGGTAAATGGTACATAAAAGCCCCTGAAAATCTTTAGATTTGCACGCATTTTGGCATAGCGTACTAAATTAAGTCGACAATGATGTGTGATAAATTTCGTGAAAATCGGTTCAGATTTAGATATAGCCCCCATATAGTTTCGTCCAATTTTAGGTAAATGGTGCACCACAGTCCCTGAAAATCATTAGATTTGCACGAATTTATAGTTTTGTCCGATTTTATGTAAATGGTGTACCAAAGTCCTTGTATATCCTTCGATTTGAACGAAATTTGGCACAGCGTACGGATTGAAGTGTAGAAAGATGTGTGTTAAATTTCGTGAAAATCGGTTCAGATTTAGATATAGCTCCCATATATATTTTCGTCCGATTTCATGAAAATGGTACACCAAAGTCCCTATATATCCTTCGATTTGCACGAAATTTGGATTTATAAGTAAATGAAGAACTCAAAATGTGGCTGAATGCACAAAATATATTGAAGTAAGTGTAACCTAACATGTGGCCAGTTTCGATGAAATCGGTTTGGATTTCGATATTTTGCTTTAAATTTATTTACATAATATTGTTCCATTGTAAGAAGCAACTCTATATCTGACCAAAATTTAGTATTGGTTGCAGAATGACATTTTTATGTTCATGTTAATGGTCCTTCAAAAATGGTCCTTCATCTGATGAATATATCTAAAGTGGTGAAGGGTATCATATAGTCGGCCCCGTCCGACTTTACTACTTTCCTTACTGGTTTACTAGTCGAAAAAAGAAGCTGTATTATGTTTTGTGTAAAAAATAAAATAATATGCAGGACATTTGAAATGTTGACTGTGGCGTATGGTCGGTCGACTATGAGCAGAGTACAAGACTACAATAACGTGGTGCACCATTAATTCTTGCCACAAGGACGTACTATAAATAAATTAATATGCATATGCTCGAAGTAACTCGCCACAACGATATAGAAGTGTGGAAAAATCAATAATGAACTTTGGACCATGATAACGCACCATATCACATATCGCTGCTCGTGCGGGAGTTTTTAGCCAAAAACAAAACCGTTATCATGCCTTAACCACGCTATTTGCGGAATTTGACCACCACTGGACGAGAAACGGACAGATGTGCATATACATATATGTAAATCGAATCCAAATTGTTTGAAACTAATTTCTTATAAATGATACATCAAATGCCGAATGATGGTCTGTTTGATGTACATGGGTTTATATATAGGTATAGATCACATATTTCATTTGGCCCAGTTCAAAAAACTAGTAAACCTTTTACATATGAGGTACTGAAAGATGTAGTATTTTGAATACTGACAATTATTATTTTTTTGGAAACTATTTTGAAACATTAATGGTATATTTTATTTTATTTGTTCCATATTGTTTCGATCACACATTCGCTGTTATAACGTAAAATATTTCCACTGGTATTTTTTGTGGCACACACTTTTCACTTTTATTATTCATAACGAATCCGATTATAATACGTCGCCACACCACAAACTTACCCTTCAAGGCAACTTCAATTTCTATAGCCCACAAGGTGGATAGGAAATTTTCTCCAGCAGCAAAAGGAGTATCCGCTTTCATAGAATTGATTTTATCAAAATTGTCAACATTTGTTTCCACAACGCTTACAAACAAATCAGCTGTTAACCATTCTGGAACTGGGGTAGAAGTCATTGTAAAAAAGCGAATAAAACTATTTCTTGTGATTGCCGCGATTCAAATCAAACTACAATCGCTGGACAAAAAACTACTTGTTTATATAGTTAGACAATCAGAATTCGCGTGCCCATATCTTTTTATCAATTCACTGGCGACATTTTCTCCGCTCTGCTTCGTAAACGAAATCTGGACAAACATATGTAAGCTCAAATCATAATAATTTTTTAACATACTCGCTCATACTAACAACAAATCAAAAGAAAAAAACTTATCAACATTGATTGCCAAAAATAATTTTCAAAAAAAAAACAATATCTTCGTGAAAAAAAAACTTGTGTTGATCTTTATTTGTTGATAGTGTATCTACATTCTCTTTCTCTGCTTGGTTTTCTCCCCAACACGCTCTACAATTGTTTTTGTATTCGCAGGCTATCTAATCTCAGTCACACTTCTAGTAGCGCTTTATTCTCCATCCATGGCAGCAATTTCTGAATTTGTTGACAATAATTCTGTTGGCCGTACATAGCTTTCAATAGTTTATCTTTAGATTCACGTAGATCGTCGGAACTTGCTACTATATGGCTATCTTTGCTGGGATCCCAAAGTGTAAGAGGCAATACTTGCGTCACCGCTTCAAAGGCTGAAAGTAAAGAAAAAATATATTTTTTCATTATATCAGTGACATGCCCATTGTTTTCAAAAACGATTAGATTAAGTTTTGGTTCCAAAATAATTTACGAATATGTCTACGTAGAGTGAATATGCCATTTTTATTGCGATTAATACTAATACGAATTCAAGTGCATGTCTAATGAAGTGATGTTCATTTCAGACGTGCCTCCAAGTATGAGAGATATGTTAGACAGTGGAAAAAGGCGTAACCATTTCGTGGTTACAAAAGTATGGAAGTGGAATTCGACATCGGGCTGGAGTTTTCATTTCAGTTGAAAGTCAGACATTGACGAAAATGGATCTTTTCCTCACAAAGCATAAAATGATCAAAAAAAGTTAACCTATGATGGCCCGGCCGAACATTTATACCCCTCAACATGAGGATAGCATTCAAAATATGTAAAATTAATGGCGCTTCTAGGAAATGTTATGATATGACGTTGAATATACCGAAAAAAGGTGAGAAAAAGTTGATTAAGTTTTATGGGATATACCAAAACGGGGATCAATACTGATTATTTTGGGTAGTAACATTTAACATCCAATGAGAATACAAATTACAGCCAATTCGGTTGAAAAACGTGTCCAAAATTCCTAAAATACCGATTTGTGTCAATATTAATCATTTTTTAGTACAGAGATATAGGGGTACCGTTATATGGGAGCTACACTCAAATTTTGTTAAATATTAATAATTATACCCTTCACCACACTATGGTACAGGATATTATGTATTTGTGCATATGTTTGTAACAGGCAAAAGGAAACGAGATAGACATGTGGTTTCTTCTGAGAATATGCATAGAATCACTTTTTTGAAATCGGTTCATATTTAGACATAGCTCCCATATATAGTTTCGTCCGATTTTAGTTAATTGGTGCACCAAAGTCCCAAGAATTGTCCGATCCAAAAATTAAATAACTTGAATAGCGTACTGAATTAAGTCCCGTTTAAAGTCTGTGCTCTTTTCTGTTTTCGGTTCAGATTTAGATAACTCCCATATATACTTTCGTCCGATTTTAAGTAAATGGTGCACAAAACTTTCAATATTTGAGACAAAATCTTGCGCTATGTACGGAGTTAGGTCCAGATACACGTATGCGAAGTTTTTTTTTTTTTTTTTTTTGAAATCGGATCAAATTTAGATATAGCTCCGATATATATTTTCGTGTGATTTCATTAAATTGTGAACTGAATACCCAACATTTGTTCGATTCCGATGAAATCTTGGATAGCACGCTTTGCTTCAGCCGAATGTTATATGTCAAGTTTTCTTCAAATCGGTCCAAATTTACATATAGCTCACACAAATAATTTCACTTGATTTCATACAATGGTACACCAAAGTCCCCATGTCTACCGATGAACATGAAATTTTCTGTATATTTCAGAATGACATGTGTATGGGTTGATTTAAATTGGTTTATACGGCTTTGTAGATCACATATTTAATTTTGTCCGATGCCGTGTCAACAAGTTTTTTCTACCAACAGGATAGATTTTTTGTACAAAGTTTGTTTAACTTCTCAAAAATACCTTTTTAGAATTTCAAGTGAAAATCTCAATAACTTTTGAAGATATAGTCGATTTATCATCAATCGAAGGCAAGAGACTTTAAACACGTTTTTCTCCAAACAATGTTTTTACGAATGGCGGGCACGACAACTCAAAAACTATTAGTCCAATCGGTTCCATATTTAAAACGTTGTTCTGAATCTACATAGCTATTGTATGAACTAGGATAAATCTAATCGGTGAAGTTCTTCCCTATTTTTCTCGATCGAAGTCAATAATCTTATTTCATAGAAGCGCCAGATATGTACTCTTTCTTAATGCATTGGAATTTTGAGACTTGGATGTTCCAGTGATCGGCAATCATGTCCACCGTCTAAAAGAAGGAATTTTTTTAATTACAAAAAAACAACAACAAGACAACAACAAAAACATGTTGTCCACTAATTTTCTTCTTCTTTAGGTATTCAAATACATGTATGCAAAGTTACAAGTATTAAACATAATGTAATCTCGTTTGCCAGCCGTTTGAAACTCGAGAATGGGTGGGATCCCCTGAATAATTGATCCTTCATTTTGAGCGTAAATTCTGTCACCTTGCAAATTGCAATAAAGGGTTAATGTTTGTCTGTTTTAATGGTCACTTTAGTTATGTACCCACATAGAGAGTGATTTTTTGGTTTCTTAGATTTTTTATGAATCGAGTTTCCTAGTAGCTAAGTCTCTTCAAAATCAAACATTCATGTACATATTGTATTATCAAGTCACATACGTGGATGACCTGTGGAAATCAGGACACCTGCACGCTGTTTTCATTAACTGTGATATTTTATAATGACGTATACCTCAGTAGTATCAACATATAGATTAGATGTTTTTCAAGTTGATTTTCTATTTGGAAAACTACCAAATATATATTTGGTAGATAGTTTATTCTATTTTTCAAATAAACAATTTATGGAATTTACGGAAATTTCTGTCTTTTTTTGTTTTTTTTTTTTAATGATTTCAACGATTTCTGATGGCAGTGATCAAATATCATATATATTAAACAAATCTCAAAAGTGCTTCGATATCACAATGTATTTTTTGTTGTCCCTACTCATTTTCCCCACGTTATAACATTGAAGTAATAGACGTACTTGTATCAATGTAAAATAATTTGATATGAGATTATAATGCCTTGACAATGAAATAATAAATATATTGTAGAAAATAATTTGACGAATAATACATTTATTTATTATCGGCAACTTTACTTCATTCTAGGTTACCAAATAATACAGATATGAACAAATTGATACACATTTTAAAATAATTATTAGTTTTTGAAAAAAGTTAGGCTTAATCCCAGTTTGTTGTTTTCCAAAAAACAACAATTTATTAGTGGGAAAAGTATGGCATTTTCCACCAAGGAGTAAGCATGGAAGACTATAGTTTCGTATCAAGCCACTGATCCTCATCAATTTCCTTAGTTTTTTGTGGAGATATTCTCCCCAGAAGCTATTTATAGCTACTTTACAAAAACCTTTCATACCCAAATGTCTCTTGTAACAAATCGAATTACTTACGTTACCAGCGATACCACCTCACTGAGAAGTTCGTTGGCTCCTGACTTCGTGGTTAACAAGACTTTGTTATCGTGGTTAACAAATTTAACACTAGAATCTGTAGTGAAATTGCATACATATACAAAATGTATCGTCAATTGCGTCCATTAAACTTAATGTACTTCAGTACAACTTTAGTCCATAAAAATATATTTTTTTGATGCTAAGTTTCTTTCGTTTTTCCACCGAATTTGGCTGTAATTTAGTTTTTGGGTTCTCAATGAATGGCACATGTCCGTACCAAAAATTATTAATATTGACCCAAGTTTCAGAGTAGGCCCCTTATAACGGTACTAAAATTATTAACGTTTAAGGTTAGCCCCCCTAATATGGTACCGCCAATATGAGGATCTTTTACACGTTTTACAATAATAACCAGTGAGTGGACCAGTATAGTCGGACGGGGCCGACCATATGATACCCTACGCAACTTCCACGAAAATCTAACTTTGTGTGGTTCAATATTCTGAGCATGGACAATATTTCGCGACTGGCCGACTAGAGGTCAAAAAATATACCAGATTCCCTTCACCGAGGGTCGGTCCACTTTATCCCAAAATTATTATCTGATCATCACCTAAAATTATAGGCGTTGCCCTTAACCATAACTGAAACCTCATGAAATATTTCAAAGCGATCTGCGCTATATTTCCGCCCTCTAGTGTGGTAATGGTTTATTAAATAATTTCTAAATACGTAAGCACCTTTGAATATTTACGTGTAATTCCCACATCCGAGTATATATGACAATATAATGGGCATCGATTTAAAGGTCAACCACACTTCTTGGATATACTATCAACTCTTCGGGTCTATGTCCTTCAGGAGTAAACATATACGTCATAGAATACAAATTTTGTCATTTTTCACACAAAAGTCGGGGTCCATTTAAACCACTAAATATTGTCCGATCTTTATGAAAACAGGCATGCTTATTCTTTGGCTCGATTTCCTTCTTCATGTAAAATTTCGACGTTCGGACCATAATTGTGGCCGCTAGAGCCACAAGAAAAACCGACAAAAATTAAGTATTTGGTCCATTTCATAATGGACAGACGGACGGACACACATGTCTAGATCGACTCAGACAGTGGAGATATGACGATCGGTATACTTAAAGGTGGGTGGAGGACCAATATTTAGCGGCGTTACAAACTTTTGGGGCTGCACAAAGCTATAATACCCTGACAACATAGTTGTGTAGGGTATAATAACTTTGTATTCTCACAAGGTACCACTACATCTCCGCACTAATAATTATTAATATTGACCCATGTCAGAATTTTGGACACGTTTTCCAACCGATTTGGCTGTAATTTGGTATTTTGTATTCTTATTGGCTGTCATATCTAACTACCAATATATAAATATGAATCCCAGTTTTATTATAGCCTAATGAAACGGTAGCTCACTATTAGATATTTTGAGAATTTCAAGGTCCTATAATATAATTTTAGATATTTTGATTGTCATTCTCACGATGGAGGGTATAAAAAGGCGAAATTAACATAGTTATACCCTTCACCACACTGTGGTACAACGTATTATGACTTTGTGCATATGTTTGTAAAAGGGAAAAGGAAACGTGTTAGACCCATGGTTACTTTTGAGACTATGCATAGAATCACTTTCTAATCCGATTTATGCATGTTCGTCCGACTTTCCGTCTGTTGATGTTAAATTGTAAACAAAGTACAGGTCGCATATATGATCCGATATGGATAGAATTTGGTAGAGCTCATTTATTTGGCCCAAGGACGAAGCCTATTGAAATTGGTGAAAATCGATATATAGCTCAGATTTACATATAGATTCCGACTGACATCACATTAATATAAATTAATCTCTGCCAAGTTTTGTTGAAATTGGATCAGATTTAGATATAGCTACCATATATATTTTCGTCCGATTTTAGGTGAATGGTGCACCAAACTCCTAATGTTTGTCCGATTGGCACGACATTTTGCACAACTTATGAAATTGAGGCTAGAATAACGTTATAGCGTTTTGTTGAAATTGGTGCATATGCAGACATAGCACAGTGGGAAAAATGCAGATCTAGAGCGCAGAAAATAAAAGTAGATGTTTTACTGTATGTTTGTCGATATTTTGGATAAGAATAGATTTAGATGGGCAATTTTAATTATTTTATAAAAAAATTTGACAATTTTTTTTATTAACCCATTAAGCGCCGATTTTTTTTTTTTCTTTTGTAGAAAAAACTTAAATTTTTAGGTGAAAATTACTATTTTGAAGCATTTGAAACATTTTATAATAAGCTAAATTTTTCGTTATAACTAATAGTACTCCTAAAATGGGAGCTTCTTTTAAAAATTCCGAAACATTTGGAGGGTAAAAAGTGGGTTAAGGGCAAACACTATTGTTATTATATGTATCTTTATTATTGTTCATATTATATATCTAAAACATTAAACTATATATATTTTATAAAATTTTGGCATTACTTATTAAATACTAATCACATTCAGATTCCGAGTTTTGATCCGAATTATTTGGTAGCATTGGATCCTCCAGTAGTTTAAGGACTTCTTCAGATAGTGGCTCACTATATCGATGGTTAAGAGATGTACTACGAGACAAACTTGATATTTTTGGATCAGAAGAAAATAGCAACCTATTGAAAAGATCCCTCATGCACTAATATTTTGTGTATGCTTGAAGGCATATAGAACCAAGGATATAATTCCACGAAAAGAATAAATGTTTCCTCAGTAAGTTTTTTAAAAGACTCTGCGTTAATAGCATATCCACAGGCCATTGTTGAAAGGATGATACTAAAATTTTTAATTGATTTTTCATCAGCACCAGTCATCGACGATGCCAAGCCACGTTGGCTAAAAAACGCCTAGCAGTATTGCCATCGTTTGTTGTTCCGGATACTGACTTAGGTGTGTCAACAATAATGTGCATTTCTTCCTTCAAATCATTAATGATACGTGCCTTCCTTTTTTCGAAAAGTAGCCCATCGGAGCTATTAATTTTCCACTTTTTCAAAACCAGTCGGTATGAAATGTGCAATATACATTCTAAACATCGAATCCTTGCATGTAAGGTAGACAGGCCGTATTCGTATAAGTTGATGTTTGGTGTTAGAGACGAAATTTTGTTGTAATCATTCATTACTTTTGGTGTTATGTGCTTATAGCGAAAACCATAAATGTAGGTAAAACCGTGTATATATGAATGTTACACCAATGATATTTTTCAGGGTTCATAAAGTGGACCCTTTACCTGCGGTATTTTAGAAGACTCTTACAACCGATTTCGTTGTAATTTCAATTTTTATTTAGAAAGACATTTGGAATAAATGTATATTCAGTGCATGAGATTAAAATCAACGTTTGGAGCAGCTTACTTAAATACCCTCATTTTCATACTCAAACCCAGTACCCTGGAACCTTAGGAAGGACATTTTGAACTTGTTTTTTTTTCTTATCTGCTATGCTGTGATCTATTCCAAGTCATATTTGATGAATTATATCAAGAAATTCACAAATTTTTAATTTTATTTAAACAAAACCTTAAAAAAAGCTTCCTACACCAAATTGGCATTTTTCAAAAAATTGCCATAAATCCGAGAGTCGCAGGAAGTCGCAGGAAAAAATTTTGTATGATGTTCTAGACAGACACACAGGAAAAATAAAACAAAAATCAACGCTGAACTCGACTGCACTCCATACTAAACCCCTATTTCAATTTAAGAAATTTAAAAAAACGGACCTTACATATATTTAGCCCGAAACACCTAAATTAAAATAACTTATGGGTTATATAACTATACCATTTAATTAAACACCAATACTATATATCAAAACAGTTGTCGCAATCACAAAATTTTTGGCCAAAATTATTTTTTTGAAGTTTCATATTTTTATAATTTTTTTGCGCGGAATAATAAAAAACACTTCAAACCATCCGAAAATAATTGGTTTTTCTAAATACCATTAATAGCCGCTCGTTGGTGTAATGCTAAAGTTGAAAATTTTTTGTATAAAAAATAGAACAGACTGTGTGCTGTAAAATATATACTTTTTGGTGTGCTGTGTGGTCGAATGGGTATACGAAATTCAGACCAAAGTTATTATGAATCTGGAAGCTGATAATAAGTGCTTTCATAATATATAAAGAAAGAACGAAGAAAGTTGTAATATCTGGGTAGGGAGATAAAAGTTTGTGTGTATATTGAAAATTATTTTTGCAAATATTTTTGAAATCTTCTTAATCTTTAGAAAAAATGTAAAAATATCGTCTCCTCCAAAAAATTTTTGGAAGCTGGCAGGGGTATGTACTATCATATTCAGATGAAATATTTTGCCTTATTTTGCCTTTTTTAGAAAAAAATGTATTTTTCTACTTTAAGTTGAGTGAAATTTTTTATAAATTGATGTTTTTATTGTATATAGTATTGAACTGAAAATGTGGGATAAAGACAAAGTTTCATCCGATTTTTCTTAAAATTGATATTTAAGGTTTTAATAGTATAAAAAACATTTCTGCAACATTTTTTGAAAATTGGCCCTTACTGTGACATAGCCGTACCGTCTGATTTAAGATATTTTAAAGATTTTAGCGATATTATTTAACCGATTCGGTTCTAACTTTGCATTTTGACTTCATGGAATGTATAAACTGTTTGTACCAAATATTTTGGTTAAGACCTCCCACAACGGCGCCTCACTATTTAATTAATTTTCGTTGTTTTTGTACAAAAATGGCAGATTATAGGGCAAGAAGACAAAGAAAATGTTTCTAAAAGGAAGCAAAAAAATCAAAACGACTTCTGGACAGAGTTTGGAATTCGCGTTGACGTTCCCAAAGTTGGTGGTTTTGGTTCCACTAATGATGGTAACACATCCCGTCGTGCTTTTGGTAGTTACCAGAAGTTTGCTCAAATTATCGGAATTAAAGAAGAGCTTGTTTACCGCCTTCATATAATTCTTGTATGTTTAACATGTCAATTTCCCCTTGATTTGGAAAAAAATTGAAAAATACTGTTTCGAAACAGCTAAATATATTCAGGGCCATTATCCTTGGGTAGCGATGACACCAACAGTGCACAAGGTCTTGATTCATTCTAAGCAAATAATGCAGAATGTTGTGTTGCCAGTTGGATGTTTTGGAGAGGATGCTGCTGAATGCAGAAACAAAATATATAAAAATGACAGATTATTACACGCTAGAAACAGTAGTCGTGTCAATAATCTCACAGACGTATTTAATAGAGCATTGGATACATCTGATCCACTTATATCATCTATACGCCTAAACGCCCACTTACAAGAAAGAAAGCGGTTAAACCTGCCATCTGAAGTAATCGAATTGTTAGTTTGTGAACTAAACGATGAATTACGGCCCGCGAATGATACTGATTGTGATGAAACCACAGATGAAGAATTCGAAGAAGAATATGGCGATGAAAATATATTTCTGGAAAACGAAATATCTATATATATTTAATAATTAATTAATTTAAAACTTAATAGAGTTCTTTTATTTTCTTTACTTAATAGTATAAAACAACCTTCTTAAGCCTGTTTTAAGTCATACTTTTATAAAAAGAGTAAATTTTGAATTATGTTTACCGCATTTTATTTTGTTTTACAACTCATGTTTGTACTAAAACATCACATTTTGTACCCTAACATTTTGTATGCCTTTGCATATCTAAAAACCTAATAAATAGTACTATATTGTACCTTATGATTGCAGAAACGCGTTTTAACGGATTTGCAATAAATATTAATATTATTATAATAAATATTAATCTATTTATAAACGAAAAGTATACATTATGTTGTATTAAATAATTTTGGCCATTTCATTTCAATGATCCTTCGAAATTGTGACGTCTGACAGCATTCATTTGTTAAATATACCCAAAGTGGTGAAGGGTATTATCACCAATACCACTTGATTTGACAACATTAAACATTTAATTAAGAAATAAAAACACCCACAATATACTTACCCCATTTATTATTTTTCATCATTTCGTAATGCAAATCCGACAACTTCAGCAAAGTTCCCTTTAATTTCAGCTGCTTCAAAAAGCTTGTCAATTGATCATAATAGAATTTGACATAATATTCTAATTTGGTTATTAGCTCATCCGTATTGATTGATGACAGCAAAATATACCACAAATCCTTGGCGGGGCTTTCATACGAACAATAACCCATATTGAGGAAAACACAATCTTTAATATTGCCAAATGCATCCATATGAAACAACATATTATCCAGGGTGCAATTGCCCAATGAAAGAACCTGAAATTCCTGAGGATTGAAATAAAATTGCGGCTCCAAAAATTTAGTTTGTAAAGATTTCTGGAAATGAATAAAACAGTTGTTATAAAATTACAGTATTATTTTCAAATGTACTCACAATTGTATCTTCATATTTTAGCAAATTATAAATATGCAAATGCTCCTTAAAAATCCTGTCGGAAATGGATGGCATTTTCCTTGAGGATTTCTCGGAAATCATTTCAAATTTGTTTGAAGCTACGCTTGCAGCATGGAATGCTGCCAAATTTGACAAAATAATTTCTATTTGTTTGCTGCCAAGACCACCCGATTGTCCAAAACATCTGTAACCTTTATATTGTAAATCCTCAAAAAGGATATATTCTTCCGGTACAGTTTGAGGAAATTTATAAGCAATTGGAGAAAAGTTGATGGATTTATTTTCCTCTTCATATATTTTCCTTAGCTTGGGTAAAATTTCAAAATTTACTTGGTTTTCAAGAGCCAAAGATGTATTGTTTAAATACGGTAATAGCTTCTCACCACCACTTAATGTAGCGGTTTTTAAAATGAAACCCATAATACGTCTTTTGCCATCTGAAATAAAGAAGAAATTGAAAAGAAAATGTTAAATATACTGTATCGAGTGGTGCACAGTTATTCCAAAAGTTTGCGGAAGGATTTAGGTTTAGGCCTTCAAAATACAAAATACAGCTGAACCACCAACCACAACGGTGAATGGCCTTTAGAAATGATGCTGAAAGAGACTGAAAGACATCTCTAAGATCTCTAAGATGTTTATTCTAACATGTTCCTTTCGAATGCGGCTAAAGTCCTTGACTAATTTAAGTGTATGTTCAACTGCGGGTATGAAAACCCAAAGTTTCACATTTTGGAATAGATGGATACTTAAACCTAGTCTATCGAAAACGAAATATATTGCTTCCACCTCACATATATAGATGCAGACAAGAAAACTAACAGTTTACCTCAATGAGTCTGTTCTCAAACCCATCAAGTCCATAACCCTTGACAGAACCCTTTTGTTTAAAACACACCTAATAAAATAAACCAAAAATCGGGGAACAACCTCAAATTTCAATACTCCTCGGGTCGTAGTAGTCCTCTTTTCAACCCACGAAACAAAACAATCCAATCCGCTTTTCCACAGACCGAACAATGGAAAACCTCTACAGAGAGTACTCAGTCGTTCGATCACATAATTTATAACTGCCCAGTTATATCATTTCCAGGAAATATTGAGGAAGTCCCTTTCAACAGCCCCAATATCCTGGCTGAACACATTGAACATGTTTTAAGAATTTCATAGGCATAATACATGGACATAGACTCGAATGGACATACATAACAGACAGGATGGACATACATCCACCTCAAAATGTTCAATATTTGTAAAACTCATATAAAGCAAACGGAATATCCAATATTGCACATCGTAATATTTTCCAAACCTAGATCAATTCCAAATGTTCAAGATTTTTAAATCAAATATTTTGTTAATAATGTGTGTCTAATTTGATTCAAACTTTTCATATCGTAATATTTTTACCAAACCTAGATCAAGTCCACCCCTTCTGGCACCATTTAATTTCCTAAGCGAATGGTGTATTCAATTTGATCCAATGATTGAACAAAGTAACCTTTTTAACAAACCTACATTAAATCTGAAGATGTGGTCTATAAAACAACTTCTTCTGGTACCTCAACACAGATGGTAAACTCTTCGTTAAAAAACAATGGCCCATCATGTGTGGTATACATTTGGCAGACCTTAATATTTATACTAACCATGTATATTATAAATTTATTAAAAAACCAGTGAGCGGAGCAGTATAGTCGGACGGGGCCGACCATACGATACCCTACACAACTTCCATGAAAATCTAACTTTCTGTGGTTCTATATTCTGAGATTGGGCAATATTTCGCGATATTTGCACACTTTTGACTGGCTAGTGGTCAGCAAATGTTACAAATAATCAGTACAGCCCCTCTACATACTTGTCCAGATTCCCTTCACCGTGGGTTGTGTTGTGATGTTCGGCTTTCGACTCGAAAAGTACAAATAATTAAGTTTTCGGTCCACTTCATCCGGCGTTGTCCTTGACCATAACTGGAACCTCATGGAACATTTCAAAGCGATCCGCGCTATATTTCCGCCCTCCAGTGTGGTAATAGGTTATTAAATAATATCTGAATACGTATGCACCTGTAAATAAGTGTAACTCCCGCATCCGAGTACCTACGACAATATAATTGGTATCAATTTAAAGATCAACCACTCCTCGTGGATATACTATCAACTTCTCGGGTCTACGTCCTTTAGTGGTAAATATATACGCTATAGAATACAAATGTTGTCATTTTTTACACAAAAGTTAGAGTCCATTTGACCCGCTAAATATTGACCGATCTTTATCAAAACAGACATGCTTATTTCCTGGCCCGATCCGGTTCTCCATGCAAAAATTCGGTGTTTGGGCCATAATTGCGGCCTCTGGAGCGACCAGAAAAACCGACAAAAATAAAGTTTTTGGTCCATTTCATCCCCTAAATATTAACCGATCTTTTCCAAAAATAATAGGGGTCTTCATTGGCCAGAACCCATCCTATATGCAAAATTTCGTGAAGATTGGTTTATAACTGTGACCTGTATCGTGTTTACAAATTATAATGGACAGACGAACGGACGGACACACATGTCTAGATCGACTCATCTAGTCAAGATATGACGATCGGTATACTTAAAGGTGGGTCTAGGACCAATATTTCGCGGCGTTACAAACTCTTGGCGCTGCACAAAGCTATAATACTCTGACAACATAGTTGTGTAGGATGATGTGGGAGTTACACTTAAATATTTACAGGTGCTTATGTATTCAGATATTTTTTAGTAACCCTTTACCACACTAGAGGGCGGAAATATAGCGCTGATCGCTTTAAAAGTTCCAGTTATGGTCAAGAATAACACCTACAATTTTCAGTGATGATCAGATAATAATTGGACCAATGATCAGATGAAGTGGACCAAAAATTTATTTTTTTAGAGTCGATCTATAGGCCTCAATTATAAGCCGAACATCACAACACAACCCACGGTGAAGGGACAATTAATAAAAAGGACTGTACTGAATATTAGTAATATTCTGAAAATATGTCAGTGTAAGGAAAAGGTGCTGTTGACCTTATCGGGTAAGAGCGTGCAAATATCAAGAAATATTGCTCAGGCTCGCATTAAAAATCCGCAGAAAGTTAGAGTTCCGTAGTAGTTGTGTAGGGTATCGTATGGTCGGCCTCGTCCGACTATACTGCTCCTCTCACTGGTTTATCATTAAATAACTTTTGCAAAGTAAGAAAAAGATGATAATCGCTTGGTGTCAAGTCCGGGCTGTATGGCGGATGCATTAAAACTTCCCAAACAAGCTTCCAAAGTTGCTGGCGAGTCACTGTAGATATGTGTGGCCTAGCGTTGTCCTGGTGGAACATGACGCCTCTCCTGTTGTCCAATTCTGGCCGTTTCTGATCAATTGTAAAAGGTTTAAAACAATTTTATGGTCCATTTTTTAACTCATGGGCGATGTTACAACGGTTAACATGCCGGTCAATTTCTACCATTTCTCCGATTTCATCGACATTTACGAGGACCGGCTTACCTTTAACATCAAAAATTCCTGAACGGAATCTACGAATCCAAAATTGCACATAATTGGCTGTAACAGTATCGGAACCAAAAACACCGCTTGACTAACATTTTCGCCTTTGTAAATGAAAAACTGTAGAATGCACCGAATTTTCTCTTTCATCACTTCCATTTTTAACACCCTATAACTCACCACTTAATGCACGAAACAAAAATAGCAAAATATTTTTTTAATGTTTATGTGTGTAATGTCACCCTTCCAACGAGCATAAATACGAGAAATCGATCAGTACAGCCATCTACCGAAAAAATAATGGATTTCTTTTTCCCCAACCCAATATCTGTCGGCAACATCGCTGGCACTTTTGTACTTGTTCTACAGACAATATTTGACATGAGCCTAAAAGTATGCAACAATTACTAAGCTTTATTTGATAATTTTTTACCATAATTGCGAGAACAAAGATGTTCCGTATGGCGACGATCGATTGAGAATACCACAAACCTTCTTTCCTTGGCTTCTATAGAACGCCATTTTATTGCCTTATTTATGTGATTGGCATGAAATATGTACCAAAATACATACAGTGGTGTATTTATTTTAATTGTTTATAGGACTCCCATTATCATGAAATTTGTTCGCTGGATTTAAGTTCCATGAAGGAAACAGATATCGTGGCTATAATGCGTACACCTGTACACTCGAAATAAAAAACTTGATATTTTAAAAAAAATTTTGGTTAGTCACTTTTTTAAAATTTGTTCAATAAATTTTAGCAGGTAATTAATTAGATGTAGCTGCATAAGCATATTACTTCGTCGATCCAAAATATTATATAATCTACAGCTAACTAATAATAACTCCTCAGATAACAGCCTAATACGCAAAAATGTTGCTATGGTTTTCTTAATTTACTATGTACTTATTTCAAGTTCAGGGTAACATTCGGAGAGACTATTGATATTATTACCTTGCGATCAATTCAATTTAATTTCAATTTATCGCTTTTTTGCATACCTTTTGCTTCGTATTCAATTTTAACACTCAAATAGTTATCTTTGCAATTGTCAACGAGTTTTGGTGAGAATTTCAGTATTTTTTGAAAATCCACAATTTCTTTTAATAACAGTTTTTCGAAAAGTTCTTCATTAACCCATTTTGGGGTGCCAATGTCAACAACGGATATTTGCCTATCGATCACCATTTTTAAAAACCAACTAATTTAAATTGTTGTTTTTAAACATTTGCGAACCAAACAATCAACTGATTCTTATCGTAAATTGATTAAAACATTGGTAATGATAAGGGTGAGGAGAAAAAGAAGAAAAATTATGTTCCTATTTGCAACTGGTTATTAAAAATAGCAATCAATCGAACGGCTATTTTTATTGATAAATACATGATGGTTGCACTTATCACCATGTCTATACTGCTACTATTTATAGTTGCATAAATATAGCATATTTTTAGGCGCAACTGTAATACACATAAACTACACCACACAGTGGTACATGGTAATATGGCTTTGTCGTCCGATTTTATGTTAAGGGTAGACAATTCGGTTGTGTGTCGAGGACAAAATAAATATTGACACAAAGTCTTCCACAAAGTCCCTATCTTGATATAGCCCCCATTAATGGGTTCGAATCGGGTTTAAGTTTTTTTGAAGGATATACAAATTTAAATGAATCTTTGCATTTTTAAAATATTTGGTGATCAATATGACTGGTCACATGTGAGTCGTATCATATTATATTGGTTTAGTACTTTTTGGCATTTCATCATGTAAAGACAAACAATGTTTACAAATCTTTCGCCAAAAGCTTCGAAACAGATCCGATTTTTTCGAGATTCGAATTTTGTTCAGCGATGAGTCCTATTTCCGCGGGTGAAGAACAACATCAACATATTTAAAAGCTGTAATTTCACCCAGAAAAATAAACAATAGTTTGGTATGTTCCCGTAGAATAATCGGGGCACATTTTGAAGCTCGTGTTTCATAGCACCACTTCCCACACATCACATTAATCAATAGATTTATGGAGGGATCACTTCGGTGAAGGGATAATTTCACGTTTCAAGCCGGTCGATTCTACTAAATTTTCAAAAAAGTTTGGCCCTCCATCAGTTCATGATGGAGAGTATAATAACGGCCATCATGAAGTAGACATTCGAAATACCTAAAACCGACCGGAATTATTTTATTTTCTGGAGAAACAAAATAACAAGCTGCAGACATACAGGTTAGCAAATGGGACATTGACATCAAACATGCGGAAAATGACGCGTGATCTTTGTATAGGGACTATATAGAAAAATTATTTTGAAAATGTTTTGTGAAGATCCGGCAATGACAAAGTACAATCACTTCGAAGTGCTAAAGTATAGTCACTTGTTGATAGGACCATCCATCTGCATATCTTGTTCGGAGAAGAAGATTTACCATCTAATGAAACCTATGTTTTATCTTAATAAAACCAATTCGGAAAAAAACAAGTGAAAAAGGGCTATGTTCAGCCGGCCCGAGCATTGGACACACTCCCCCATAATTTTTATCTCGATATCCTCCGAAGGTGGAACTATGGACCTTCATACTTTGTAGTGTAAAAACTGACAATATCGGGTAATGAATATACCCCCGCTATGATGGAATACGCCTATATGGGGACAATCCCCACACACGGAACAAATCAGGAGAATTGTTACTAAATACGAAATAACAAATTACTGTAAATTCGGTTGAAAAGCGCGCTCAAAACTCTCAAAATACCAACAATTTGGGAGTACCGTTATGTGGGTGCTAGACAAAAAAAAATTGGATCAATATTGATATTTTACCAAGTTACAGCCAATTTGATTAAAAAACTTGCCCAAAATCCTCAAGCTCAAAAGAAACTACCGAATATTGGTGGTACCGTTATATGGGGGCTACCCCGAAACTTCTTAACTTGTAACGTTTTATAACTTTATAATTAAACTTAACTAAAGCCACAGGTTCAACTAATTTAGCCCTTAACTAAATTCAACCAAAACCTTTTCTTAAAAAAAAAAAAAACTTGATATACAACATTTGTTTTCATACGCCGATATTCGCATAACCAATTATGTTCGCTAAGATGATTTATCATATTACGAAATGGTTTAACGCATTTTGTGTTTTTTTTCATTTTCTAACCCTGTCCAGAACTAATTAATACCATATCAAATGATTCAATTTTGCACTTGCCCATGGCAAGCACACAGACAAAACCTCCACTGCATTAAAACATCCCTCCCTGCTCTATTACCTTTTTTGTTCTGTCAAATTATAGAATTTGACCTAATCATGTCACCATCTAATATGACAGAATAATTCGATTGAATTTGGTGCAAAATCTCTGCAAATTTTCGCCCAAAAAAGGGAGAAATCAATCAAAAATGTTCTATAAAGTGTCAGTCGTGTTTTTAATTTATTTGTTGTTGGTCGATTGGGGCGATTAATGTCAGTGGGTATTTTGGCACAGATGTTCATTTCAATTGTGTGGTGTAGTGTCGATAATACTGTTCAACATGGTGAGTTTGGGTGATGTGTTCTCCTGGCGAGATTTGTTCTTGGGAGTAATGGTGGTGGATTTCGTACACAATACAAATGTTATCAATTTACTCTATGGTGAAAGTGACGTTATTATGTTGAATTTAGATTATTGTACATTGCTCCACAACTGCCTCCGTGGCGCAATTGGCTAGCGCGTTCGGCTGTTAACCGAAAGGTTGGTGGTTCGAGCCCACCCGGGGGCGGCCAGCTTTTTGTTGTTTAAAAAAATAAAGTTTTTACAATATACATTATAATTTTTATATTACACCAAATTTGGCATAACGTACTGAATTGTGCCTAGAATGATGTCTGGCAAATTTCGTGAAAATCGGTCCAGATTTAGATATAGCTCCCATATATATTTTCGTCCGATTTAATGTAAATGGTGCACCAAAGTCCACATATACTTTCGATTTGCACGAAATTTGGCATAGCGTAATGAATTTAGATTGATTTTAAGTAATTGACGCACCAAGGAATCAATGTATGATTGATAGGAACAAAACGTAATGAAATTAGTATAACCTAACCTGTGAAATCGGTTCATATTTGGATATAGCTTCCATATATATATATATATATATATATTCGCCCGATTTAAAGTAAATTGGGCATCAAACTCCTCATGTTAATCAGATTGACATCAAATGTTGTACAACGTACAAAATTGAGTATATAATTACGTAGTTGCGTTTTCTAGAAGTGCAGACATATATATTTGTTTGTTTGAAGTCGATTTACAAACTTTTTTCTCATTGTAACAAACGAATGACATGTTTATGGATAGATCTGGGTAGATTCACATTTAGATAAATATCACATATTTTATTTCATCCAATTTCATGTTAATAGTCCTGTGGTGAAGGGTATCATATAGTCGGCCCCGTCCGACTTTACTACTTTCCTTACTGGTTATACACTTTTTATGTAGAAAAAACTTCATAATCGTTCGATATTCCCCTTGACGGTAATATTAGATATACTTCCAGAAAGTGAAAATATAAGATAGTTTCCTATAGAATCCGGATCAGAGACTTAAAAAACACTCCGGGGAAATGTATATTCTAGTGATAAGTTAATATTGTAATATGTATTGAGCAAACAATCTCTAATCATGCAGGATTATGAGCCGAAGCATACATTCCGACTTGTAACGAACTGGTTTGAAGACAGTTAAGTTATGTTAATGTAAACCGCAATGAACATCTATGTATAGTTAAAACACGGGTTTCTCACTTTTTTGCGAGAAATCGAGGAAGTGTGGTATTTAATACTTCCGTATGTGTGTGAAACTCTAGTGACTTTTATAGGCCGGAGCAGCAACGTACACAGGATTTCATTTCGGGGGGGCCCGGTAGTACAAATTGAAAAAATTCGCTGTTGCAAACATAAATTTAATATGAAAAATTTTCATTTGGGGGGGGGGGGGGCGGGTCCCCCCCGTGTCGCCCCCTGCGTACGTCCCTGGGCCGGAGATGCAAATAAGCGAATCACGCATTTCTTCTTTCTACAAAACCTTAAATGAAGCGTTATCATTATCCATTCCCTTTATAGAATACAATCCTGATAGTGAACCATCGTGGTCATCTTCTTATTATTAGAAGTATTATTCAGAATATCTAGTAAAAATGAGATGTAGATTATAAAATAATCCGAAAGTTTTTTTTTTAATTCATTCACATTAAACGTAAAGTTAGCGCATTGTCCAGTTATATGAAACTTGGTAGTTGAGATCATCTAATAATTCTGATATTGCAAATATGTTTGGCAAATTTTTCCAGAGCAATTATTCAAACTTTCCGTTTAATTTTAATCATAACTACCATATGGAAAGGTAAACCATTTTCCACATTAAATGCCCTGAAATCACTTAAAACCTATAATTCTGCTATAGTCGTAGTACGTAGCCATTTTTGGCTCTTTGTTCTTTATTTAAATGATCTTCAATCTATAATCCGGTTTTCTAATATTTAAATGTTTTCAGATGATGTAAATCTTTTTTTGTAGTCTAAATCCACTTAACTTTTCATTAAACTTGCAACATGACATACACTCATTCGTAAACTGTTATAGTGCCAATGATATGTCCCTAAACCTTAAGAAGTGCAAAAAATTATCTCTTTCTAGGACCAGCCCTATACCTATTGATTACTTTATAGGTTCTCATACATTTGACTCTGTAGACTCGTTTAAAGATCTTGGTATCATTTTAGTTAACAAATTGCGTTTTCATTTACACATTGAATCATGTGTTAATAAAGCTAAATCGTTGCTTGGTTTTATAAAGCGATGGTCTAAGGAATTTGATGATCCATATATAACTAAACGTCTATTCATTAGCCTTATTCGACCCACGTTGGAATACGGCTGTGTATTTTGGAGCCCATTTTATAAAAATTATTGTAATAAAATAGAATAGGTTTAAACCCAGTTTCTTTTATTTGCTCTTAGGGGATTACCTTGGAATCTACTTGAAGCACTTCCTTTAACCGTTTGAAACTGATTGATCTTCCAACTAAAGAAGTGGGTAAAGTGATTTTAACTTTTTAACGGGTAAAATAACCGTAGAACTGATGTTATTTCTGGCTGATGTTATTTCTGGCTGATGTTATTTCTGTAGCCTGTAATTT